CCGTACTCTGCGTCTTACAGGATCATGCCTTGTAACGGCTATATTAGCTCACCCACTCCCCGATTCAGGAGGAAATGGGCAACCTTACCGGTTGGTGACGTTATCCCCACCTAACACAGAAACGGAAACGGATCCCATCACAGCGGGGATCCAGGAACTACTCCACCAAACCCGCGATGACTCCAGTATATAAAGACCTCACTCCCCAAGGGCGATATGATGCGTAATCTCTGCTCTCTAGCTCTCTCACAATCTATTATCATCTTCAAGCTCTCTACTAAGTGCTAACTTAACCGTAGGAGTGACCTCGCCGGGTAAGCCACCCCGGGTTCTCTTATTCATCTCTTGTAGGTTTCTCAATTCCCGTCGTTGCTAATAGCCAAATCATCTCCAGCAGGAAGTAGCTGAATTGTTCGATGCTTGCAGAAGTTGCCATGTTGATGCAAACCAAGCCGGGTTTGAGTGGGGAAAAGCCAACTTTTTTTTTTTGTCTATTAGGATTTATACAGGAAAATTAAAGGAGCATAGGGGTTCGAAACCCAGACTGGCATATTGTGATACCAAAACCCAAAGAGCTGTCAGATGCAAGATTCTCCACCCGTGAAAGCTCTGATGAACACCACACCAGAGGACCGAAAGCCAAGCACCAAACTTGTCACCCAGACTCCATCTTACTTGAGTAAAGCCCATTAAAGGAAGGGTTTGGGTGATCAGATCAAAAGTTCAGAAGTTAAAACCACTCCCTGGAAAAGCAAATAATAATTTATACTTGCATCACAATGTCAATATCTGAAGGAACTCTTGCATCATCAAATTGGGTTTTTCTTTTCTTTTGGTAATCAAATTGGGTCGATTCAATAGAGAAGGAAAGAGGTTTTCGAGAGACCATGATACGTGTCATGGACGTGTATTATTTCGTCTTGAGGCTTTGGAAGCTTGACACAGTCCTGAGTCCTAAATCTGCAGTCTCCAGTCTCCACCCCCACATGCTTTCTCCTTTTTCTGGTGAACTCCTCCACCCACCTGCATATCAACCCAAATACTGCCTCAGAGCCTCAGAACTACACACCACGCAAGCACAAAACCAAGAATAAAGCCAAAAGTAAAGAAAACTTGTCACAACTCACAACTATGGTTCTAACTTCTGAACTTGGTCATAACCATCCAAGGGTCAGGATTGAATAATCATACTGATTGATGATCTCCAAGCTAAGGTGTTCCTGGTGGGTCCAACTCCAATCTGTATTCTATAGAAGATTAGGATTAAGGAGGACACAACAAACAGGTTAACTGTCTTACCAAACGCAGCCTAAGTGAAACATAGTCTTCTAGAAAGAGGGCAATTCCATATCCAAATAGCTGTACCTATTCTAAACTCGGCACTTCAATTACAACGGACAACTAATTATTCAACGATTAAATTCTGTTTTTTTCGCTTCAAATTCAACAATTATTCTTGATCCCTTATTTCTCAGATTTCAAAATGATTTTAAATGCAAGAAAGCAAAAGAATTCACAGCCGTTGATTTGCCCAAATGCCAAGGATTAAAATAACCCACGACCGTTGATTACTCGTTTACAGTGATTACTCGTAACAGTTTCCGGTCAAATTCGGCCGGCGCCGCCCGCATATCTCTTAAAAACGCGTGTTTGTCCCGCCTATCGGGTCGGTTAATTCCATATATAAGGTGTCAACACCCTCGTAACGAGGCCAAAGAGTCCAACACATTCTACAAATAATTTCAAAATTAAGGGTCTATCTCCCTCTTGAGTCTCTCCGTTTCTTCTTCCGCAACCTCTTTCTCTTTGCCGATTTTGGAACTGATTACTGGAGCACAAAGGTAAGTCTTTTGTTTGAGTTTTCTTCTATGTTTGAATTTCTTTAATGGGTTTCTCGGAAACATGGAAATGTGTTATTGGGTTCGATCTGCAATGCCGATGTTCTCTAGATCCATATTTTAAGGAAAACAGACGAGGTCATTTTGGGAGGAGCAAAACTGCGAGGGGGCGAAAACTATTTTGCTTCTCGCTTGTTTCAATGATTTTTGGTGGGCTTTGATTTCAATGGGGTTTGGTTTGTTCTCAGGCCCGCATTGCAGTTTTTGCCGGACTTGGGTTGCCACCAAAAGGACTAGTTCCTTTTCGTCCTCTTTTCTGATTCTTCTTTAGTCCCCTGAAATGGAATATAGAGGTCTCCAATTTTTATTTCTTCATTTGATTCATCAGTTCTTCCGAGGGCAAACTAAGAACATTTTGGTTTTCTCGAATCAGTAGTAAATCCAGTTTTCAGAACCATTGTTCTTCAATAGATCTTAGAACTCACCCTCTGCTTTCGATATCTTTATTTTTCTTATAGAAAATCGTTAAACAGTACCGCCTTCGACTTCTGAAGGGCCTGTTGCTTTTTGCTATTTTCTTCACCAAGCCATCTCTTGCTTATGTTTGTTTTCATCTTGCTCACCTGGTTCTCCTGTTTTTGTTTGAACCTGCAGGGAAAATGACAGAACCAAAACCAGAGACACCCGAGATACCACCATCGTCCTCGAGAAAGCTCCCTGACTTCAAACAATCTGTTAAACTGAAATATGTAAAGCTTGGCTACCATTATCTCATCACCCATGGCATGTACCTCTTCCTCTCGCCTCTCGTGGTCCTCACTGCCGCCCAGCTATCCACATTCTCGCTCCAAGACCTGTATGTCCTCTGGGACCATCTTCGATTCAACCTGATTTCCGTGGTCGTCTGCTCCGCCCTCCTCGTGTTCCTGTCTACAGTCTACTTCCTCACCCGACCACGCCCCGTCTACCTCGTTAACTTCTCATGTTACAAGCCCGATGATGCTCGGAAATGCACAAGGCAGATATTCATGGAGCGGTCCTGCTTAACAGGTTCCTTCACTGATGCCAACCTTGAGTTCCAAAAGAAGATCCTTGAGCGATCAGGTCTGGGCGAGGACACTTACCTCCCAGATGCTGTCCTCCGCGTGCCTCCGAACCCATCGATGGCAGAAGCTAGAAAAGAGGCCGAGGTTGTGATGTTTGGAGCCGTCGACGAGCTCTTTGCTAAGACCTCTTTAAACCCCAAGGACATCGGTATCTTGATCGTTAATTGTAGCTTGTTCAATCCGACTCCATCTCTCTCGGCCATGGTCATCAACCATTACAAGCTTCGGGGCAACATAATCAGCTACAACCTAGGTGGAATGGGTTGCAGCGCAGGTCTGATCTCAATAGCTCTTGCTAAAGATCTTCTGCAAGTCCACCCCAATTCTTATGCCTTGGTCATTAGCATGGAGAACATCACCTTGAATTGGTACTTCGGCAATGAGCGCTCCATGCTCGTTTCCAATTGCTTGTTCCGAATGGGAGGAGCTGCGGTCTTGCTCTCAAACAAGCGCTCAGATCGGTGGCGATCCAAGTACCAATTGGTCCACACCGTCAGGACACACAAAGGTGCCGATGACAAGTGCTTCAGCTGTGTGACCCAACAGGAAGATCCCAATGGAAAGATCGGTGTGTCTTTGTCCAAGGATCTGATGGCCGTTGCCGGTGACGCTTTGAAGACCAACATTACTACTCTGGGTCCTCTTGTTCTGCCAATGTCGGAGCAGTTGCTCTTCTTTGCTACATTGGTCGGAAGGAAGCTCCTCAAGATGAAGATCAAGCCATACATCCCCGACTTCAAATTGGCTTTCGAACATTTCTGCATTCATGCAGGTGGAAGAGCTGTTCTGGATGAATTGGAGAAGAACTTGCAGCTATCCGAGTGGCACATGGAACCATCAAGGATGACACTTTACCGGTTTGGAAACACCTCGAGCAGCTCTCTGTGGTACGAATTGGCTTATACAGAGGCTAAAGGAAGGATGAGGAGGGGAGACAGATTATGGCAGATTGCATTTGGGTCAGGGTTCAAGTGCAACAGTGCAGTCTGGAAGGCTTTGAGGACCATAAACCCAGCAAAGGAGAAGAATCCATGGATGGATGAGATCCACAAGTTCCCAGTGGATGTTCCAAGGGTAGCAGCTCTCTGAACTCCAATCAAGCTTGAATAGTTAATATTTTCTACTGTTCTGGGCCTGTATTTTTTAGATGAAAATTGGGTTGAAATGTTGAGTCTGTACTTTTCAGATGAAATTGTTGTTAGGTTGGGAGCTATTGTTTTAGGAAGATGGGTTTGGAGAGGTGGTGCCATTCAGGATTTTCTATCTGCAGGATGGTTGGATTAGTTTCGAGGTGGTTAGGCTTAGCAAAAAAATGGTTTGGATCAAGAGGAGGTTGGGTATTTTCATGCTGACTTCTTCATGACTTGGGGCTATGGGGATCCATTGGAACTAATTCACATGTACTGGAATGTTATTCCTACTGTTCTTCATTCGTAACTTCTTCATGATTATTTGATTCTCCATATTCGTACACTTGCAAAATGACCCATAATTCTTGAGAAGATGGCTTTAAGTAATTCCAAGTGTCAATGATTCGCCCAATTAAGCAAGCTCTGGTGGGCTTGATCTGAACTTGCACATCATATTTGTTTCTTGACATTGGTTTATGGGTGGGGTTTTGCACCAAGAAAATGGAATGAGGTGACCAGAGATCTCAGCTTCCCAGGTGAAGAAAAGAGTTACAGGCTTCCAGCCTCCCAGGTCCCAGGTGAGGGGACACATCACTTTTGTATTTTTGGTAATAAATAAATATTGAATAAAAATAACATGATTGTTGAGGGTGGCGGTACAATTTTGGACTTGCATTTCCCAATATCGTCTTTTCCTTTCCCCCTCAACAGTTACAGAACCAGGCGGAGGTGCAAATGGTCAAGTACGACCAAGCAAGAAAATATGTGACCATTAAATTAAAAAAAAAAAAAAAAAGAATAGAGGCGTTCTGGCTGCAATCTGCATTGAGCACAATTCTCTAGTGGGCTCTAACTCCGGCGGTGCCATCGCACCAGCACCGGACGCAACTCCAAAACCATGCTACTGCCTTTAGTCCTCTTTCCATTGCTATGTTATCTATTACCAATGTCAGTTTATATTTTGGAAAAAAAATGTTTACTGCTGCGGTATTGAATGCAACCGAAAACTTGAACAATGAGAAGCATCTGAATGTTATTAAATCAACTGAAGCCAAATGGACTACAATTTCAAGCATTCTTTTGGGAACGTTTGTGTTCTTTCCTCAGGATTTGGACCCAGAATCCGAGCAATGTCCTGATTGCTGAAACGTGAGATGGGAATTTGAGGTTACCGATTTCATTTCCGCCCCGGAAATCCCATTATGTCCGGACAGTGGCGGACCCAATTGTCGTCTTTGATACCTGATGAATGACTACTACTTCACTTGCATAGTTGTAAAGACTAAGACAGAGCGAGGGATGACATTGACCTTTCTCATAAATCAACAAGTCATAATTCAAACGCACAAGCAAAGTCCATGAATTGGTACAAGCACCCGGTTAGTCATTTGCTTTTCTTTCTCCCTAAAACCTGCTTAATCTAATGTGACTTTCTTTGTTTTTTGTTTTTTTGTTTTTTTTCCTGTTCTGGTTGGTATCCTACTTCTGGAGATGAATAAGAAGAAGAATAAATTAAGCAGCAGCCATAGCTGGTTATGAATACAACCCACATGGAGCTTCAAGCCTTCAACAACAACAATCACTGTCACCACCATGTGCATGTGAGCCACTGAAATATCCCCACCAAATCTACATGTTTATATACGATATTATACTAGCTCGCTCTCTCTTTCTCTCACTAAACGCAATCTCTATCCATGTTAACTAATAAATAAACATGCCAATTCATTTGGGGGTGGAATGTGGGACCCATCCAATAAAGCTATAGCCACATGACCGCTCGATTATGCCTTACAGGAGAGCTCAAATCCGGTGCTTGCAACTTGTTATCAATATCATTACCAATGAAAGATGTTTTATTTCTTATCTCCGGACTCCGGCCGGTCAGTACTAGAGTACTGGTAGATTGCATCTCGTCGGAGGGAAGGGAACAATAAGTGAGGCTGGCAGTCGTCGAGGGAAGGATTAATTAGTATATACGAGTGCAAAAGCCAACATGTCAAATGTCAATGAACTGGAGTAGTGGACCATACCGCAAATTTGATCCAATGAAGATCCCAAACTATTAATGCAGGTCATTTTCCTGTAGATTGGTAGTTGCTGCATTGATTATCTTCTTCCTATTGACTAAGAAAGACGTAAATGTTTGATGCAAGTGAAGTTTTCAATTGATGGGGTGTGAAGGGTTCAAATCCTATAGAATTATAAACAAATTTCGATACGTACACCGATCGATATGCATTATTAGAACATATAGAATGGGCCAGTGGCTTGGTTGTCTGCCATTTCTGCATTAAACAGCTTTGCCTTTGTTCGGTAAGCAATGACCTATGATTTTCATATCCTCTGCTTTAATTCAGGACCATCGACTTCTTATTCAAGTCAACCATAATGAAATTATCATGTAATTTTTTTTTAAGATGGCACATGTTATTCACTTGTACAATTAAAAATAGAAGAGCCCAAAGCTAAAAATTAAGAGCCCATATCGGAATGTGTTATTCTAATTCTAACTGTTTGGTTAGACAGAATGAGAATGGTGGAATGGCATTTCTCCATTTGAGGAAATGATCATTCCCTCTTCCTCACTTGCAAGTGAAATCTCATTTCAGTTTATTCCAATTCCTGTCTAGACCAAAAAAACTATAAGAATAGATCATTCTGATACTAATTCCAACTACGAACCAAACAAACCCTAAACTTATTTATATGATTTTACTATAATTTATTTTTTTATAATCTTATCAAGGTTCAACACTTGGTCTTTATTTATTTATTTAGTTATATTGATTATGGATGAATTGATTAAACATATTTAGGAGGAGGTCCTACAGTGCATGTTACTTGATGATGACATTGTTTTAACTAACAAGTTAAATACAAAATTAAGGTTATAAATAAATGCCTTGGAAACAAGAGATTTTAAAGTAGGACAAAGAGAATATATCATAAATAAATTTATTAACAATAGGAGTGCGTATTAGGATACACTTTGGATTTGAAACCAATAAACGATCCAATGTGACATTTTCTTGTATCTACAATTTATAACAAAGTAGACATTAAAGAGGATGTCACCCATAAATTAAGGCAAGATGGGCAAAATGGAGGGGATGCATCTGGAATTTGTGTGATAGGTGAATACCTCTTATGTTAAAAGAAAATTTTGGTTAAAAAAAATGTGAAGCCAAGATAGCCAGCCATGTTATTGGAGCCAAAGATTTAAATATCGATATGATCGTATAAGTATCGGCCAGAGGGTAAACGAGATACGCTACGACTAAACCCGTATCTCATGAATCACACGCATTTATTTGTAAAAAATTGCGCCTGACATGATTCAAACACAAATCACCCAGCGTTCAAGTCTTGGTTGCGCACTTCATCCACTAAGCCAATTTTCATCTTAAGAAATTTAATGAAATAAAATATATTTTTTCTATTCTAGTGTCCACATGTAATGCAGAAAAATTACATTTGTGTTTAACAATTCCAGCAAAATAAAAAATAATATTCAAAACTAATATTTTATAAACTAATAGAATAAATAATTTCTTAAATCCACATTTATATTAAAAATTTGTTTAATCTCAAGAAATTTATACAAAAAAAGATATTAATAATACAATAATTATTTTAGTACTTAATATTTATAAATTTGAACATGACATGTATCTTAAAATTTTATAAATTATTAATTAATATTTTAATTTGAACTAAATAAAAGTATATATATTATTTATAAAAAAATATTATTTACAAAAACCTTGAGAATATAATATAAATTGAGTTTGTCAAATCCATTAATCTACATTTATATCAAAAAATGATTTTTTATTTCAAATTTTATGGAAATAAAAATATTAATAATGGAATAATTATTTTAAAAGTTAAAAATTATGAATTCGCATATGATTTTTATCTTTGAAATTATTTCTTCATATATACCTTTAGAATATACATTTTCTATGTATTTATACATTAATTATGGCTATTTTGATCTTAAAAATAATGTTATTAATATGTTTATGGAATTTATATGCATTTTTTGGCATATCCATATTTTTTCTTCCGTATCCATACGTTTCTAAAGCGTATCCGTATCCGAGTGGTCTAATACCGATACTTTAATCCTTGGTTGGAGCAAACCGCCGGGCAATCAAGAAACATGTACAAAGAATGAGTGTAGCAGAAATGTATATATTGGTATGGATGAGTAGGAAAACTATAAAAGACAGGATAAAAAATGAAGTTATTTAAAAGAACCTGAGAGTAACTCCAATAAATGATAAAATGAGAGAAATGATATGTTGCAAGTTGAAGAGAAGACCATTGACAACACATGTAAGAAATGATTTGCAATTTGAAGGGGCTAATTGGGCCAGGGGTAAACCACAAAAGAACATGATCAAAGTAGTAAGAATTTAAGTATTACAATTTAACAATGGATATGATATTCAACTGAGGATGATAGCATAAAAGGATTCATGCAACCAACCCTATATAGTTGAGATAAAATGATGATAATGCATGAGACTTTTTATTGGAGGTAAAATATCAATCAATGTTTTTTGAATGTAGGGCTTCGTTATCTACCCCATGGTATTATGTTTTCTACCCTCGAGCTTTACTTTTTAGATCTTCAATTATAGGAATTATGTGTTATAAAGTCTCATATTAGGTGTAATGACAACATTACTCCCAAAAAAACAGATCAGAAAGATTGCATATAACAATATCCCAGTTTACAAACAATGTTTTCAACGATAACAACCTTAATCTTTGTATTAATTGTTAAAAAACTATCTAGAATAAGGCTTAAACTGACTTGCAAAATTGTCACTTACCAGTAATATAATATATATATATATATATATATATAATTGTAAGTTGTAACTATGACTTTCTTTAGGCTCAGTTTGGAAGGAGTACAAATACCAGTATGTTGAGTGCAAAACTATGTATTTTGTATGTATCAATTTGTACTGTACATATTTGCATTTGTATTCCTTTCAAATTTAGGCTCAGTTTGGAAAGAATACAAATGCAAATATGTACAGTGCAAATACAAAATATAAGGTTTTACATTCTACATATTTGCATTTGTACTCCTTCCAAACTGAGCCTTAAGAAAATTTGCAAAGATAGATAATAATTTGGTTAGAGATGTAAATAAAGATGACATTAGGGGGATGCAATAATAAATTCACTTCATGGTAAAAATGAAATTTGCCAACAGTTTTTATATGGGAAAATCTAGGACGCCAGAAAGTTATGATATCAGAAAGGTTTTGATCAATCACAATCCCCATAAATTTTGGTGAAAGCCCACCTGATTGGTTC